ATATAGACAACCGTATTGCATTAACTTAACTTATATACGACAATGAAGTTTCCTCATTACCTCGTATAATTAATCATTGCAAAGCTCGGAGGGAGAAGAGATGAACAAGTAGTGATGTAGAAATTTACGGGATTCAGCAACGACTTGGAAAGTCTCGTCAGATTAACATTCATGAGATACGCATAATTTAGTCATGTACTCTTTGTCATACGAATAACATTATGCGACGGGAGAGCAACCAATGGCATGGGAGGTAGAGGCTCGAGCTATATCGTAATGGACTGTGCTGTGGTCATTAATGAACAGAGTGTAATTAATACGCTCGGGTCTTCTATAATGTGCGTACCTTGATTTCTGCATAATTTTACGAAATAAAAAAAAAACGCATTCTGCGTACCTGTTCTTTTCAAACCTTGCTTTTTTATGCAAACTGAGAGATGTGTGTTCAATTTTCTAGATAATTAAAATGTAAACGGTGTGAAAATAGCAATGCCAAGATGAAAAATAAAAAGCAGCGTTCATGCGACTATAGAAAAACAAAATAAACTTTGCATTATTCATTGCCAGAATGACAATGGATGCATCAAATATTGTAACAAAACGTACCTGGTCGCCAAACTGCTACTCCCGGGCTGGGTATGGGTTCCTGTTGCACTGTGGGTATTACTGGTGCGTTCTTCATGGCGGCGTGGTAATGCATCATACTGATGCTGGAACACCTCTATTCACCCGTAATCACGACTTACTTCACGCGTGGTAAATCAGTAACTAGTGAACTGCTTGCTGGGACACGAACAAAAATTTCGATGGAACTGCGCAACGAAATATCTAGAAAGAGAAAAAAATCGAATTATTGCTTAAGCTTTCTTAATCAGCAACGTAAACGGGAGTATCTTCTGTCAGTGAAAGTAAGCAGGTCAGTGAAGCGAAAAGTTACAAATATAAAAGTTGTAAATAGAAATCAACGAAATTTTAAACTAGTACTAAGCTCGGTCTTTGCAAGTGATCCTCGGCTATACATAGGATGGTTGATTATGGCGTTGCCATACCAGCCGACGCACAAATAAAATAACAGACGACAACTCACTTCAAAGAGTATTCAGTCTTCATTACTGCGATTGCATCAAACGCCAACTCGTCAACAAAATATAGGCCTACACCATAACCACTTTGCTAAAGTTTTAGCTAACACGGGCACAGCATGTTTCTGCTACAGTAACTTAACACTCCTTATTGCGTCGCAGTTGGAGTAAACCGAATAGTGTTTCATCATCGTTAACATTATTATTACACTCAAAAGATAAGAGCCCGTCCATTAATGTTTAAATACTGTGTTTACCCTGGTTTCCTGTGGGCGCACAAGATGGATGTACTGGCCAGCCATATACTGACGTACGTCTAGGTCCGCTACCTCGGTCGCTTCAAATAAAATGAGCGAACACCCTATTTACGCATGAACTGCGTACTCGAACGTCAGAAGATGACACAAACGACTGTATTCGTAGATGTGTTTAGAATCGGAATATTTTTCCCAGGTCAATAAAAGTGGATACGTAGCAAAAACTTGCTGAAGCCATTATTTTGTCTGCCTTCCTGTTATGTTATGATGTATTAAAATTATATGGATTAAAAGGCAAGATCGAAGTACATACACGTGTATGTGAAAATACTGATGTCACACATGCAACTGCAACTACCGACGCTGCACGTACAGGTGCAACTACTGAAGTTGTATGTGTAGTTTCACCGAAGTTGCAGACGTAGATGCAACTAAAGTACCAAAGTTACTACATGAGCAGGTGGCAACAACCAAACTTGCACCTGTAGGTGCTAATACCGAAGTTGTACGTGTAGGCCCAAGTGCTAATACCGAAATTTCTGCAACTAAAACGTGTCTCGCGAGTGGATGCAACTGCATACCAAAGTTACACGTACCGTATGTACCGTGTATCGAAGTTGCACGTGTAGTAGCATTGAGGTTTATCTATTTTATCGATTTTATACCTCCATAGTAAAGTAGGAGTATTAATAAATACCACAGTTTAACGTGTAGATCCGCCTACAGTACCTAAGTAGAACGTGTAGGTGCAACTATCGAAGTTGCACGTGTATATACAACTATCAAAGTTACACGTGTAGGTGAAACTATCGAAGTTGCACGTGTTGGTGCAACTATCGAAGTTGCACGTGTAGGTGCAACTACAGCAGCAGCTGGTTTATTACTGCGTACGGTATCGAAACGCGCACATGATCCTTAGCTTAGAGTACGAATGTTTAAAATAATAAAACGAAAATCTAAAGCAGAAATACAGGAGTGTCGCTATCAATTTGGATGTTTAATATATGGCTAAACCTTGTAGTGTGGTTTGTAATTCTGTAGCCTCTGACCCTACCGGCTGTCCAGCAATGCGGCTCAATGAAAGTGCAGCGTACAAGCAACGTTGCAGCTAAAAGGCATTTCTTACCAAGTTATATTTTATACCGGTACTAAGATGGCCAATAACAAAGTAACAAAATAGATTCTGTAAACATGATATTAATGACGTATTTGCAGAAACGAATACACTGTTACTGATCTATGCAAGCCAGATCGGAATATAGTCCTATTTTTTGATTGCATGAAAAAACATTTTTTTTTTTTTTAGTAAGACCATTAATGCAAAGCTGCTCCAGGGTTCAGATATGTGTAGGCCTAAGTCTGTTACAAGTAGGCCTGCATTACTTGTCGATCCATGAACTCAGCAGTCGGATAATGATGACGACATCTGAGTTTATTTAGTTAGACTTTACTTTGTAACACTTTCCATTTTTTCGGATGTTTACCTGGAATTCATAAAGCACAGAAACACAAAGACTTGCCGACGCCCGTTTGACGCTTCCCTTACCGTTACATAATCAGCTCACGTATAACGCGTTTGTACAATTACTGACGCATTGGTGCTTTTATTTTTCGGACGCTTGTCTGGAACTGGAAAGGAACAGATTCACTGATGCCCTTGACATTTTAAAATAAGGACGAAATAGACAACAAGTAGTCATAAAAAAATCATTCCGCGACGCCGTCAATAACTCCGTACGTCCGCTTTCATCTCGGCACAATTACCCTCGTAAAACGAAACACCATTACAGGGGTATATAGCGTTGGTAATGAATATGCCATTAGATAGCTGACGCGTTCATAAAACATCGAATTTACAGTTGAAATTAAATTGCAACAATTCTGTATGACATACTTAAATAATGAGTTCGATGGAATCAAACATGGACAACGAAAAAAGTTTTAATAGTTAAACTAGACTTGGAATTTTCCCAAATTCAATTCAATCGGTAATAGGTTATATACTTATTTCCCCAGCTTGTTCTATTATTATTATTATTTAACGATAGCCCATCCATCACTTTCCGTAATGTTATTCCATTTTCATCGCTTGTGATATTGACTTAACCCATTGCATATCCTTTGTGTTTGCGCAGTACAATACGCGCATACAATGTTATTTTCCATTCGAACCTAATGTCAAAATTTTAAAATGTTCTTGACACGAACATACATCTGACATCTACAATCTCCTACACTCTAGACATTTCCAAAACGAATTCTAAATAGTTGAGCATATACCGCAAATATTTTATATATAGGCCTATTATATCTAGGCAACATTTAAATTGGAGTTAATCTTCACATGGCAAGATGGCATCAAATACTTGTACCAGGCGATTCAAAATAAAGAATAATAACAAAGAGAAAGGAGAAATTGTTTAATTTATCCCTTTCTTTAACTTAGTTTATTTCAATTTCTTTGATGTCTTATATAATTGTTTTTTTTTTTGGTTTTTTTTAAATGTTTGAACTATTTTACTTCTTCGTTCCGGAGGATTTTCGAATAAATGAAAATGAAGAATTTTAATTCGCACATAAATACATTTGGAGCTCAAGGCCGGCACATTGTCTTAAAAATGTCCTCTTTTTTAACCATTTCTTTTATCTATTGTTCTGTTTTTTTTTGTTTTGTTTTTTTAAAAATTAATTTCTTTCTTTTACTTTCATTGTATCTTCTCTTTTCTGCTCATCTGAAATTCCAATTTCAATTTTATTCAAAATACCTTCAAACAGGGAGAAAACAAAACACGTGGCAATACAATTTAATAAGGTAAGAACGAAAATACATTACAATACAATAATTTAAGTTAAACACACAATATGAAGATATACAAGCAATATAACTATAGACCTATTTCTTTTCCTATTTTCATCTTACATCTTCTTTTCTGCTCATCTTAATTTTTTCAATTTCAATTTTATTCAAAATACGAAATTCAAAACACTGAGAAAACAGAACGCGCTGCAATACAATAATTTAATTTAATTAAGACAATAATTTAATTAAGGTACGGTAGGCCTAAAATTACAATACAATAATTTAAGGTAAACACATTATGAAGATATACAAACAATATAACTATTTCTTTTCATATTTTTATCTTATCTTCTTTTCTGCCCATCTTAATTTTTCAATTGTATTAAAAACACATCAAAACACCGAGAAAACAGAACACGCTGCAATAAAATAATTTAATTAAGGTAATAGTACGAAAATACATTACAATATTTTAAGGTAAACATATATGAAGATACAAAAAATATAACTATTTCTTTCCCTTATTTTCATTTTAACATTTCGTTTTCTTAACATTATCTTTTTCTTTCTTTTTTTAAATCTGTTTCTCAATAAATAAGTGGATTTTGCAATGAGCAAAATCTAAATATACCACTGGCTCACGGGAGCTTGGTAAAGAAAACGAAAGGCCAAAATATTTACATAGGCCTAGGTCTACATGTTTTAATGATTGAAGCTGCGTTAACATCGGATCCGAACCTCCATTCGGACCGCGTTTCCGAAGCGCCGAAGGCCTACCGGTACCGTACGTCCCTCATCCTGATTCGACTCTGTCGGCTCGGTAAGCATTCTGATCCATAAATTCGGATTCGGTGTAAAGTTATTGTTTTAACAGAGTGATAGAGTTCCGTATAATTTTGTTACTTTACTGGGAATATTTTACTTGTTTACTATAGCTATTCTGACGAGTACTGCTGGAAGAGTCCACGGGGATAGCATAGGATTGTTCTGAACCCGTTTCATCATGAAGTTTTTATAGGTCAACTGCACCTATTTTTAACATAGCTCTGTTTGTGCTACACAAAATCAGAATATCAATCATTAATTATATGTAACTGATCGCCGTGTTTTATCAAATTTACAAGCCACTCGTGTACAAACTAGCTTCGTTTTTAATTTATAATTTTTTGTTTAGTTTTAAAGTTAAATAATTGATAATCTATTTTCATAATGTAATAATCATTTATTTATTTATCTACTTTATAAATTTTGAAATAATGCTATTTTAAAGAAATCTTATATTATACATCCTTGGCATATGTACGGGATATACATATGCCTATCAGGCCTACATACATAATATATTTACCCAATAGGCCTACCTCTCGATTATGATCGTAATTCATTAATCATATACGTATCACATTAGTACTTGTATAATTAAATCAAATAAACATTTCAGCATCCTATAAACACATGATACATTTGTGATAACAATCGTACTGTCTTGCAATGCATTAAAAAAAAACCAGAATTGACGTTTTTAATTAAAACAACTTTTTATATTGTCGAATCCAAGCTATTTAAAATTTGCGATATAATTCTTATTTGCTGGCATCAATAGAATGATTATTTTTATATTTACCATATTTCTATGTACACAGAAAATGTTTACCTCGTATAACAAGCAGACGACGTAATGAAACGTTGTGCGATCAAGGAAGTAAGTCGTCTCTATAGGCCAATCTATCATTAATAACAAATAGGCGAGTGGTAAAAATGAAGTTACAGTATTGTCATTTTTCCCGACGGCGCCTTCGTTTATACCACAATCATTGTGCCTTCTATATTATACATAGGATGCCAAAAGCTGGATTAATACAAAGCAAATGGTTTATATTTATTGTTTTAATCATTCTTTTTTTTTTATATAGAAGAAAGGTTAATTATTATCATTGTTTAAAGTGGACAAAGAAAAGAAATCAATCTTACTTACTTCAAGCTTTAGTCTGGTCGCGGCTGTTATTGTTTTTGACGGTACAGTGCATGGTCGTCAAATCTAAAGAGAGATATAGAGAGAGAAAAAAAACTTTTATTAGCGAGTCATCAGTTGTCGATTCTGCTCTGATAGCCATCAAGTAAAATCGTGGTGCCAGAGATTGTGTCCCCAGCTTTCATAAAACATTAATAGCACTAATGAACAGAAACTCGCGAGACAGTTATACGCTCACCAATCTACCTTATCACTGTATTTACTGACACGCTAAATAGTTCCATATATCCAGACGAGTCCAACGACCGAGACGCGCGCCCATGTTGTTTTAGAGTTGAATAGGGGCTGAATACTATACGCCGATACGTCCTTAAGCTGCTACAGATTAATACGCATAATCCACGCATGCGATAAATCTGGTACAATCACAAGGAAAATGACAACGAGTAGCTAGACAAGCACCATTATCAATCATAATAAGTTGTTTCAGAATGAATATCATAACAACGTACATTAAACATGATCGGTATAAATCGGAATAACATCGGATCCATTCGGAACGATCGACTTTATGTGCGATCTAAATATGATCGGAAAAGAGTGAAATAATCACAAGCTATTGAAACTTTATCTAAAGCGAAGACACTATGATGAAATAAAACTAATGCTACCATCATTTAAAAGATTAGTTTGAAAGGGAAATTGGAGACTGACTGAACACAGTTGAACAGCGCCTCCTATCATCTGAGTTAAGTCCAAAAAGTTTTGGAGAAATTAAGTTGCCAAGCGATAAACAGACAAATCACTTTGGACCTTGATGTATGTTCCGAGAATATTGCATAAAAGACAAAATATCAAATGGATGAAACTTGCGAAGATATCGCACTATCATGGTAAAAAATTTATATTATTAAATTTATATAATTGAAAAAATCTTTTTGAATTCCTGGATCATGTGGTTTTCAAAATGTCAGAATACGGTGCAACATTTATACTGAAGTAGGGACTTAGATGAAAGACTTAATTACAAAAAATATTACCAACATCAATATTATCATTATTACATTATTATCAATAACAGTATAATGTTAATATTAATAATATTATGGAACTATAAAGCACTTAATTTAGTTGAATTTAGAAAATTAAATCTAGCTTAATTACAAAAAAATATTATCAACATCAATATTATCATTATTACATTATTATCCATAACAGTATAATGTTAATATTAATAATATTGTGGAAATAGAAAGCACATAATTTTGTTGAATTTAGAAAATTAAATCTAGAGAGTTCATTTAAGTAGGTCAGTCAAACCATGAAGAAAGTAAATTTATTTTCTCCATGGTAAAACTTCGTGTTCATTCCACGTAACCGATAAAAAACATAGTCTCGAACTATTTATATTAAGTAAAATTATTAGTTTTTACCACAGGACTTCACGCACAGCCAAAACAATCGAAATCATCATGAATATGATCTAAACTTAGATTATTGTAAACAATGCGTGGGGTGATTATTATCTAATGTGTTCATGTTCGTATTAAAGATAGTAACCCTATTATAAGTTACCTTCATCCTTTACGATACAATACAAGCACCCCGAAACAGAAATTAAGTATACACCGAAAATTATAACAATGAAATATATTTATATATAACAAATAGAGAAACTCGCGTAAATTGTACGCGCACATTCACGCAATGATTTCAATGGCTGGTTGATTTATGTGTACGAAGCTAGTCAGACGATTTCACGTAAGTGCCATAAAACGTGGGATATGCACACAACAACACATCACGTTACAAGTCGATAATAAAACAGTATATTTATGTAGAGCCTAGTAAGTTTCTAGTTGCATAAATTAGGCCTCTATATGTTTTGCCGTTCATTACGTGCGAATTCGTTAAGTCAAGCACAACCCCAGAGGCAGTTATGCGAAAGATGATATCAAAATGAATATAATGTTGGCTAGAGGAATTCATTCCGTAATCCCAAACAATCGTTATCAACTAATTTATTAGACGTAATTCGAGTTTTCGGAGAAAATTATTTCCTAACAACTTGTACCATAAATATATTTTTAAAAATAAATCACTGCATTATGATGTATAACGAAATGTCCATACTCGTGTAATCCATTCCGTAGTATTCGGCTTGAAACGTCAGCAAAATGTCAAACGAACACGTGATTACCAGGCACGTCATTTTCACGTGCCTGGGAATGTATTTAACATTTCTGGCCGATGCGTCTTACCCTGGTCACGGATTAGAATATCTACATTCCACGATCTTCGTTTGAAATTCGCCTGTAAATCACATCTTGAGATCTACAACATGATGTCCATCATAAAAACTTCCTTTTAAACCAGACCAAATTTATCATCTCCGAGGCCTTCGGGTTTACAGCAATATGTGTGACAAAGCATAGTGAAAATTTGCAGATACGCGTATTTACTGATGGAAAATATTGTAAGTTGTCCAAAATGCTCGAATGTGGTCCACGGGGAAGAAGTTTGTAATGTGTAAATACCGTAAGCCTAACCTAGCTGCAGACACAATTTCTAAACGCAATTTCTACATTAATAGGGATTTAATCGGCCAAAACCCATTGAATAACCTTCCCTGACCTATGCGCGTTTTATTTTTTTTTATATACCCCTAACCCAACGCATCTAAACCTGCATATTATATTACGTTAACTTGCAAAAACTCCACGTAACTATGCTTAGCAAGGGTAGGGAAAAGAGGCTCGCGTGCCTGAACCGGCCTTAGCAACATACTTGATCATTTTAATGAAGGTTTAATTTAACAATACACGAGGAAAAAAAAACGTGCGAACACACCAGACCTGATTTGTCCTCCGCATGCCGCAAATATGCTGGAATTCAGGGGTGCAGTGAGATCGCAGATCGTAACCCCGGGCGGGCCCACTTTAATAGATCTACCAACCCTTACATTTCAATATCTACATTGTTAGACATAAATTGTCTTATGATAGGTGTACAACAGTCAAGAATTCCACAGAAATAAACACATATTTCACATTCCTGCGTGATTATGCAGTATTGTCGTTGACACGAGATACTGGAAATAGATTTTCTTCATCTAATACAACATGAGTAATATTTGCGGAACAACCGTTAATAATACATCTAAGTATTTTTGAAATGTTGATACAGGTGCTAACAGCACAATTCTTCCTTGTTTATTATAGTATTAACACGATGTCCGATCATTGTTCGGCGATCGCTCGTTAGAAAGGAATGTAAAATTGACATCATTTATTTGTCTGCTGCCATGGTTTTGCAAAAACGCGTCTTATTATAAAGGAACGCGTTATGCAAATGTCATGGACGAATGGATGAATAGAAGGAACGATGAATGATTAAATGGAAGGGAAGGATGATGGATGAATGGGTGGATGTGGATGGATGGATAGACGGATGAAAGGAAGTAAAGAAAATAGGAATGATGGATAGATTGATTGATGAATTGAAGCAAGGAAGAAAGGAATGATGGATGGAAGGATATAATAACAACTCTTTATTTCTACATATAGAGCATAGACTACATGAAAATGTTAAAGTTACAAATATAAAATTACGAAAATAACTGAACAATTAACCATGTTAAATTGATCAACATGAAAATTAAATTCCAGTAAAGGTTACACAATTACAGGTTATTTCGCGAGCAAAATAAATTAACAGTTGTTGTAGCTGTAAGTAAAATAACTTTAATCTTTAACATCATGAGAATTTGTGAAAAAAGGTATGATACGGTACTTCGTTACATTAAAAATGACGGATGAATGGATGGATGGTCAATAATGTTTGTGGGTATAGTAGAAGGTAGGAGTGTCAATACTTGTTCTGCCTATATCCTGCTAAACGACGTGAGCCGTGCTAAAGAAAACATACATCGCATACGCCCAAACAACAAGTCAAGAAACAAAATGTAACATCGTTTCTGATGTACAGTAGATTTAAAGTGGTATACACATAAAACTAATCGGAACTCAACACAACGCAAGATGCGCCAACTTAGATCGCTGACAAACAGACCTAGATGTGTTTTTCTTTTTTCGCGGACCGGAACGATTTTGCCAGCGGTGTTTCGGTAACGCGTTAATTCGAGTATTTAACACGCTGGTTTGTTACGACACCCGCGCCCGTCAACTCGGACCTCTCGCGGGATTTGGAATCGGTTAAAAAATCCTGCCAATAACTCAGACAGCGGTGCGACAAAGACATGAATAGCGATGCTAATAAAATCGAAATAGGAAGGAATAAGAACAAAACATTTGCCAATTGGGATGGTGTGCATAGATCTCGCGATAAGAACTAGTTATTTTTCAACAGAATTTAGAGATAACACACCGTGAGCTCCTTTCGAATTACCATACACTAATACCTCCAGGATATAACAGAAGTCATTAAAGACGCGAGATGCGTCGAAAGTCAAGTAGAAAAGATATGACGTCACTAATGATGGATTTCGCTAGTCAGAAGCAATGACATGATATTTGTTACGATAACTATTTTAATCAGAGTAATTCAAAACGATCCGTAAACATGACATGGATATAATTAATACTTCAATTATAGTTATTATTGCAACTAATTCTGTAATCAAATTGACGGCAAAATACGACACGATTCAATACAAAAGTGTTCCATTATTAGGCCTACTATATAGGCCTGGTTTATTATAGATGACGGCATAACGTGTTAGGCCTATATATCAGGATGCCACCGCGATGGAATTTTTTTTTATCATTGTACTAATTATTAATGTTTGTAATTCTTAAAAATTAATGTTGAATAAGATTACCAGAAAAAAAATCGAATGCAGATCTAGGCCTAATGTAGAAGAAGATAAAGGAGTAAAAACGGAGTTTAAACGTTTAAGTAGGCCTACCATGCAGTCATGATGGACGCATTGGAAGACGACCATCTTTATTGATATTAATTAATGTTTTATAATTACCAATTACTACGTGTTAAACGGTTCAAAGGAAACTGCAAATACATTGATATAATTCGACGTGTTTAAGTGAAACCTACAGTACAGATACGCACACGAGTTCAGCATGAACATGAAAATACCAACATTTTATGAATATTCAATGATGGTGAATTGTGTTTTTTTTTAAAGCGACACAGATCAAATGGCCTTTGCCTTACGGATATTTGTGAGGCCACTGCGGTTCGCTTTTAAGCTTCAATTCTGGCTCAGTGGTTGTATTTCCTAGAAAAAATCTACTAAATTGGAGGCCGAGTCTTTGTTTCAGTAGAGCAGAAGCTAGAAAGACGGCGTTAAAACACAATAAACAACTAATTTACAAGACTGAACCATAAACCACAGGTCAATGTTTTCAGTTTGAGTTGATGGCCTAGGAATTACACCTATTCATTTAATGTTAAAGGTCAAGTACTAATGTGTCGATAATAAGGTGATGCACAAAATCAAACATCCTCAATAACGAAGAAAATAGTTTCACTATCAAATTCACACGGATATCATCAATAGAATTAACTTAAAACTGATTCTTAAAAAATATATTACATATATAATATTTTTGTTTTGTCAACATTAGAATCTATATGCACTTCCAATGTAAAAATAAATACACACGTGTCACATAGTGGTTAGAAAACGATGCGCAAAAATGACAAACGCCCTCAATGCCGGAAAAACGCATTCTAATTAACAAATTCACACTAATTTTATCAAAAGAGTTCACCTTGGCATTTTTCAATTCCTAAATATACGTACATATATTTACATTAAATAATAGTGCTCTGTCGTCATTAAAAACATAATCTATGTTACCTTAAAGGCAACAATACATCCAATGTATGCCTAAACGTAAAGTTATAATAGGATATGATTTCTAGCGTAAAGTTAGAATATACGATGTCTAGCGTAAGGTTAAAATAAACGATGTCTAGTTTGAATATGATGCCAGCAAAGTTAGAATATACGATGCCTAGTTAGAATCTACGATGACAAGCGTAAAGTTGGAATATACGATGCCTAGATAAATATACGATGCCAAGCGTGTCGATAGAATATGATTCCTAGCGTAAAGTTAGAATACTGTATACGATGCCTAGCGTAAAGTTGGAATAAGCCTATACGATGCCTGGCGTAAAGTTGGAATATACGATGTCTAGTTAGAATACGATGCCAGCGTAAAGTTATAATATGCGATGCCTAGTTAGAGTATACGATGCCAGGCGTAAACTTTGAATAATATCATCCTAGCGTAAAGTTAGAATACAGTATACGAACGATGCCTAACGTAATGTTAGAATATACGTACGATGCCAGGGTAAATTTAGAATATACGATGCCTAGCGAACAGTTTAGAATAATACGAACAATGCCTAGCGTGAAGTTAGAATAGGCCTATACGATGTCTACGTAAAGTTACTCTTTTAATGTAAAAAGGTGAATTTTCACTCGAAAAGAGTGACTACTGGGACCACTCCAATTTCATTCTTCCTTGAGTAATATTATTCTTAAAATAGTGAAAAATCAATAAAATTCACTCTGAATAGTGGGAAATCTCACTCTTTTTCCCCCACTCCATCAGGGGTGGTCCCTGTATTCACTCTTTTGCATTTAGAGAGTAGAATATACGATGCCTACCCGGTATCTATAGAGTAAAGTTTGAATATATACGATCAAATCATAGCAAAAAATATAGCAAGATCACGGATACAATCATACGCAATTCGTTACCGTACCTGTTCAAATTTGCACTAAAATATTGCTCAGCATAGTTATTTCCAACTCCCATAACGGTTATGTAAAGATACCTGCCCAATAGGAAAACAAAACCAAACAAAAAGCCGATGTTCGGCTTTTTGTTATACGACATAACTCTCGCATGCGTCAATTATTTGAAGTATTTGACAGAAATACTTTCTTTATCGTTAAGAACCCCTTGATAATAATAATATACGCATGGGCCACGATTTTACAGGCAGCCGACATAATAACGACCGAAGGTACTTAAAACAAGTTTGCAAACGTACATTACTGATGGATAACTATGTTCCAGTCGTATAGTATGTCTATGCCACAAAAAGTACAAATTATGTGGATAGGCCTAGATGTACTAATCGTTAAATGGGTTCTGCTGCGAATTGGTCATTATTAGTTATTACGTAATGGTACCGGTACGTATGCATTGCACCCGCGCTACAAAACATGTGTATGTACATATTATACAGTACGTCAGCTTATGGAAGACCCACATTAAAAATAATAAACCTGTATTCGAAGTCGTACTTTCTTTTCAAGTTCATTTAATTCTTGGAAAGGCCTAACCGATTTAGTGTGTTCTGTCAGGCCAAGACTTCCACGCTGTTCAATCCCGAACAAAATCAATATTTTCGGATTTTAATAAGAGTGCACTGATCTTTTTGTCAAGTGTCTAGGATGATTAAAAATCACTGCAGAAAAAATTGACGATTTAACAATAGCTAGGTCTACAGCTGTAGTTAATCCTAAAACACTTTTTCTGACAGCTGGTTAAATTCATGTTTCGAAATGATTCATTCATTCATTTGTAGTAATAAACAATATATGAATGAATCATAATAGAAACACGAATTATAAATAAGATAAAAAGTAATCAGTCCTGACCTGTAGGCCTACATATCAATATATACGGTTGTCATGGTAAGATGATGACATAATGACTGCTCTATGAATCTAAGTTTGTGGGTTACTCGGCCCTCATTGGCTACGGTGAATTTCGAAAAAATAAAGTTAAATATTCTCCAAAATAGGGCTTGCACGTAACTACCCCTCTCCTTGGATATCGTTACTAAAGTCCCACAAAAAGATAGCGTAAACCTAAGTAAACACGTGCGTTTGTGTGTTTGTTAAGCAAACGCGTAATCCTAGCGATGTTCTGATTGGTCAGTTGTTAATTTTGATTGACACTCCAGAAAGGTCAAAGTGAAAGAAGACTTGTGAGAAAACAGATCAACAGAACTACATCGCAATAATTTTCTGTATACCTCGCTAAAGATTGTATTGCAAGAATGGCCAGTCAAAATATGTTTTTAGGCCAGGCGGGTCAGAACAAGACAAGGCGACCGTTTACCGTCGAGGGAATAACTTGTTCCCATGATCGTGAAGCATGTGTCTCGAGTCGCAGAACCCACATGGGGCCAACGAGTGTAAAACACGCATCAACATAGCATTCATACCAACACCAGAAAACATGCTATCGTAAGATAAAAAACATGTGATATTATCTCTTTATATTAAATCCATATCCATCGTCTGACCTCCTTACTACTCCCACCACTGACCTAATTCACAGGGTCGACAATTTGAAGAAGTTCACCAAAAGTTTACGCATGTGCAAATCAATGGAATTTATTGAATGCATTACCCAGGAATAAATTTTGGACAAAACAAAAACTGGTATCGTAAACAAGGTTAACAGCTGATCGGGGTAATACCGTACCAGTCGACTCCTAGACCTGTTAAAAAGCAATGGAGTACATAGAAGGAGGCCTCGCTGGCCCCTTATACTCTATATGCCTAACTACTTTACCAAATAAATGAAAAATACCAAATATAATGAATGAATAACTGCAGGATTACGGGCGCCGGGTTTATGAAAGACTATACGGTAATCTCCAATTATGGGGAAATTTTAATATTTTGTCGTATTAATAATTTAAAGTGTAAGTTCAAAGGTAACATTAAAACGACTAGACAAAAATACACCTTATGGGTTTAATCAGGTCAAATAATTCACAGCTTCCTGAGGCCATCGCATTATGTCCGGTCAAGGTACCCTGGTAGTAGTAGTTCAGATAGAGGCACGTGGGTTCGCAGAACGCGTCGTTGATTTTTTTTTCAAGGCAACGCCTGATTTGGCACACTCCATCGCCAGACGATTCGTGCACGCTCTGTGTGAACTCGTCCAATTGTCGGTGGCTGTCTGAGGTGATCGTAGTTGATAACGATCTGTCACACGATCCACCGTCACGGGTCTCGTGGAAGCGCGTTGGCTGCCAACGCAGAAACAGTCCGCCTTTGGCAAGTCAGAACATGCATAGCCTATTACCAATCTAGGAAAACGAGATACGCAAGACAAATTCCGGTAGGCCTGGAACTTCACTTTCTTTTATCATATAAAGTACTATATAATCCGTCTTTGATTAGTGGTAAAATAAATCATATTGCGGTTGTCCTTGTTTACAGACGACCTGTGATTTGATGACCCGGTGATTAGACGATGATCCGACGATCAACATGAATATCCAACAATGCGAAGATTATCTAATAAGTCTCTCTTATGATGATCTGTGGTAGGTCTACTAATATCATCTTGACATGATCCGATAAGCTGTATTTCATCCAATAATACTGATTCGATGATGATCCGATTAGCTGTCAATAATTCGGCGATGATTCTGATGTACCGATGATTTAATTGAATTAAACAAAATCAACCAAAAAAATAACAACGATATACAATTTATATCATAAACATAATGATGAACACCATTGCAGTAGCTAACTACTACCGTATCTTACCTCATGACCCGGATCCATATAATATGGCTTTAAATGAATCATCACTTTCGAGCGCGCGTACACAGCGCATCGGTAACTACGCGCACTATCACAACCAATTACAGAATGTCAGACCTCAGTATGTTTGGATTAAAATGGGAATCCGCAATTACGTATGTTTCTCTACAAGACGACGTGAAACACTGGGATTTCGGTAGGACGAACTTAAAAGTGAATCGGCAAGGAACGTCCAACATCAGTTGAAGTAAGACAACGATTAACAAATCAATCAGGATGATACGCGATGACGTCAGTCACACGAATCTACAGTCCGGTAATTATACACTTTCATAACACATTTACGACCTGACATTTGAATGATCTCCATCCTGACCCACGTGCACACTTGAGGAAACCCAGAAGGCAGAACACAGTGAGTGAAAACCGGATAAACAGTGATCGATATGCCATTCAATGACGTCACATTATCGAATCCGTTAAGTCAATCGTCTCTATTATGTCCGTTGAAATAACACAATAACGGAAAACACTCAGATCAGTATTAATCATCTGGGAAAAGGATTATTTATCGATTGTAGATTTGGAGAATCGCTAAATTAGCGAGAAATCACACGATAATTACAATGACAGTACAATGTTCTACAATATTATTAAGATTTGGTAAAATCAGGAAAAAGTCGAACAAAAAAGTATTAAAACATTGGACTTCTTTTTTCAAACATATTTATACAGGATTAAAAACATATCAGGTGGTTGTTATTGCCTGTTTTTCATATGGTCTTTTTAAAACTTATACTAGGAAGATAAAGATAAAACATACATTATACATCACACTTCAATAAATCATTATCTTCAAATGAGACAAAAATTCAAATTTTGCTCAGTTTACAGACAATATTCGAAGACCAATTCAATACAAAAACTGATGTCCAAAAAGCAACGACGAATAATATTAACAGTAATATTAAGTATTTTCTTGTGTTCGATCGAAAGCTGACCACTTCATTATATATACAGAGTAACCATTTAACATATTTCATTTTATTCTTCAGGTGTATTAACGCTCAATACCAATGAAAGTATTATCTTGTAAACAAAACTGAAAACAAAGTAGTTAGTTGAATAATAGTAGGGACAATAATAGTCATGATAACGTTTCTTTGGCCTATATCGATCTACACTTAACACAAACACGTAAAACATGACCACTAAAATAGTATCTGCCTCTACATCATAAAGCCTTTTACGCGTGTAATACAGTCTGGCGATAACTAGGCCAAAGGTAGGCCTACACTACCAACATAATGAAATAGCACACCGCGCCGATGGAGTTGAGTGCGGTTGTGTTTTATTACGTACAGGAGCGCCTATTTAAACGGCTATAGCGTTTCTTGACAACAGAGTATTTCGGCTTTTTTATGCGACTACAGTTTGCAATCCTTCTAATTAACAAGGCATTTTAGAATCTAGTGTTCGCTTCTCCTAGGGTGTAGTATTTTATCGCATGCATACAAACATATCTCAATATAAAAAGAAGTATTGTCATTTGATAATGAATAATTGTAATGGGCGTATCAACTTTGTATTGAATTTCGAAATGTTAGCTTTAAAATCGTTTTTTTATGGAGTAATGTCAATGAACTAGCCAATCAACAAGCGGGGAAGTGAAGATACCTTTATACGATTAAATTTAGCCAAAAATTTTAAGACCGTCAATAGAGAAAGAAATAATAGAAAGGGGATTTTCGGACGGAGCAAGACGTGGGCGGACGTGGATCGCACCAACAAAAGACGGTTTCCTAAATCTATTTCCCCTTGGAGATTTATCGACAGACAGATTACATTCTATTACAATACTTCGAAGTATCACGTCGTTTATCGCACTACTTTTCAAGAAGAAAAAGGATCCAAGAAGTTTCTGCATTGGAAGATACGCCAGATCAACTTTTCGTAAGGGCCCACCTTTAGTAAAGACGTCTTGGTGGCGCACTTCACAATATCTACAAGATTGTCCAAGAGTTTGCTTGTTTCGCCTTGGATATGAATGAGGCGGACAGTTGCCTGCATTAAAGAATAGGTATTGCTGAACCATTGGAGTTCATTTAAAAATAGAGGAACACGTCAAAAGACGGCGTATCCGCATACATATAAACATACAATCGTATTCCATAGTTGAAACACAGAACGTTTATAAAACGCAAACGAAGGCCCTATTCAAAATAGGATTTTAGAAGATTATTCCACGTAAATAAAACCATTTGAAATTTTAAAATTATAAACTAAAGAGTAGACCACCTAAAACCTAAACATTCTCCAAAAAAGACTAATTACCTTATGCCTACTTAATTATGCAACTTGGTTAATGAGCTTTTACAATTTATTCTTAACGGTTTAGAGAACATACTTATTGGCATTTATGTATTACCTGAATAGGACAGAGTAAGAAGGAGGACTCTGAGGGGCCTAGCTCAGGTGTGATTGTTACCGACTAGTCAGGCATGTACTTTTCTATTCAGCACTGCATCACGCAGACGATACGATTATACATTGCACTATTCTGTAATAGGGCCTAAGTAGGGCAGAGTGTGTTACTGTTATTATCTCCATTGCACACCGAGTATTATTATATTATTATTTCTCATCGATATCGAGGCCTGCTTGGTTAATTTCGGACTTATGGCGCCCGCGTAAACATGATCAGTATTTATTTAGAAATAGATTGTCCGTAATAACAGTGTCGTACATCATCCGTGAATAACAATATCAACAAATCAATATAAACAAATTCTTCAGCTCGGACATGAAGGCTTATACATCGTACAAATTCGCCTATATTGTGGGAAGTAATCGAAACTATTTACTTCAAAGTGCTAATAATAGTATTTGAAGCTGGGCCCCGGAGGAGAAACAAATGATATGTTGTACAGCTGCAAGATATAAAAAAGGGTGTTTGACGAAAAACTCGGGAACGATTAATGTTGAGATACAGATTTTTTAGAACTTAAAAACTGGGGGAAAAGGGTGGTTACGCCCTCTTACCCCCAGTTAAATATTTAAAATTCTGTATCCATATACGGTATCGTTCCTGATTTTTTTTTGTCAAACACCGTTTTTATATGTTTCATCTGTTGTACAACAACAACATTTGTTTTCCTCCGGAGCCTGTCTGCAACAGTTTGAGCGTCTAATTCCTCCCCGATAGGCCTGATATGAGGAACTAAGTCGGTAATATTAATATCTCTCTTGGTAAAACGGAGTTAAGCGATCCCCTACACAGAGCCCTAGTTACTTGTATTCGTTTCTCACAAGTACTACAAGCCTGGATTTATGAACTGATATTTAAGATCTATGCCTATAGGCCTACGCTATCTCGGGTAAAATATGGGGAAAACCCAAAAAAACTACAGTGTAAACATTGAATTTGCATTGTAGAAAGAATCATTGTTATCAACTGCAAAAGTTAAGCTACTGATTTAGAAAACAAATTCTCAAATTAATTACCGATACCAGGCAAAATTAGATGTACAAAAAAAGAGATGCACAAGAGGGCCGGATGAGGGCGGAAGCCGGGAGTAAGTGTAAGCCCAGAAAAAAAAAAAGGTATGCGCCACTGTCACCATCAACATTTAGTAAGAAAAAAATTATAAGCAAGCTTATGTCACCTAAGCCTTCCCCCACCGCACTGCCCTTAACCTCCACTCTCATTAAGTCAATACACATAGAAACGCCAGGTTGCGCAAAAAATAATTAAGGATGGTTAATTGGTTAACTGGCAAGAAAAAAAAAATGATTTATCAATGAGGTAAGGGGTGAAATAATTATGAGAAGTTTATTAATTTGCGTGTAGGTTTATTTTACCGCTGAGCCAAAAAATACTATAATAGTGCAACACGTAACAGTCATCACTGATAACAAAAGGATGAAATTGCACGTCAACAACATATCCATCTTTGAATCTATTTATATTGTGTTGTTTCCTGAATCGCCAACGCAATTGTTTCCTCGTGTAAATCCACCAGTGTCTATCGGTTCATGAGTAAAGTTCTTTACACCGTCATCAGACAAACATTTCCGCCATGATATTTACCTGACGATTATATTATAATCGGCTTGTTGACAGAAATGATAAAGCCGGTGTAATTATTGGCTGGTACTTCCTTATTATGCTTTACAGCGTATTGTAACGCAAGGCCAGGTATTGCTTTGGCAGACGACAAAAGCATTTCCGAAACGTCGAATACACAGTGACTGGTAGATATCAACTGCGCGCGTGGTGCCGGGTTGTAGAACGTGCTATACATGGCCTATACAATTATTCAAACTACGGCAGAGTCTATCACTACGGAAAACCCCTGCAATCAGAGTTTAGGAGCCAAGAGTTCTTTAAAGCGAGTCCATGCGAGGCGGAAATACGTGTGCATGTAGGCCTGCGCTACAAAATAGCAACACGAAGTCGCTCGCGCAAGGGTACCATCACGTTTGTGCACATTATGCCTGCACTGTACTGAATAGCCACATGCATTCTTATAGTAACCCAGCTATTAATATTACATAAATTTGCCACCACCTGGGTGCGGAAACGTTAGACAGGCCCGGTGCGCATTTACCCCACCTAACAAGAGAAGCAAATACAGAATGCCACCTGGCAGCGGAAACCTACAATTTGACCGCCGGCTACCCCCTCCCCCGCCTCTGACAGCGGAAACGTTAGTCTGAGTCAGCTAAGCACCGATTTCACCTGCAAATTCCGTTAGAATAATTACTGTGCTTATCAGACAGTACAATCTTGTACAATAACTTATACCTACGTTGGGTGTGAAAGCGGAAATGTGGTCTCCATGACTACAAAGTAGTTCAGTCAACAATGATAGAATATCACAATCAGGTCGCGTGTTAATATCCAGAGCAAAATTCAGTGCTTCTCTTGTACGATGAAAAATAGCAATACCACTGAGTACCAAGTCGTCGATAAACATAACCAACCGAGAATATAGGTAAGGTCTTTGTTCAAGAATGCCTGAGTCATGGAGTGACTAGCAACAAGAGATGTTGCAATCACGGTAGAGGATGCAAGACAATATTAGACCCTTCGAGAAGGTGGCCTGGATGCATCGCGGCGCCCTGGATATTTAAACTTGGTGTGTTTACTTTCGTCGATCACCTCCCAGTTTTACACTCTCGCTAAGCTTAGCATTCCTGACTGACATTCTTAACGCATAATATTGCTTGAATTCCAGGCGCCGATTTGGTACTGTATAAACCTCTTCCAATTGGCCGGGCCTTTAACATTCCAACAGCACAACAAAGCATTTGACCGTCCTGAATCAAACTGTGTATAGTGAATGCATGGTGAATGTAACAGTGGACCGCATATTGCCCTATATTGAGGTCATTGACCGGATAAAGATATATCCGTTTCGCTTTTGATTTGCAGAGCATTCCAGCGTTGTTGAGTCACAATCCATAGACACACCCAGTACACCTTTGTGGGGGAAATGCAATACGAATCGTCTGAAAATTGTCCAAGTTTCGATTGTGCTGAATCATGACTTATTAATATTTTTTTAATTGCTTGCTGGCACGTCATCGGTACCGGTATGTCATACATACATCAACCCACATACATTACTGTACATACACACCTGTATATACATATTAGTATATATATACACACTAGTATATATATATATATATATATATATATATATATATAATTATATACTGTATTTTGCCTGTCTCTTATACACATCTTATATATGATTTATTTCTACGGATTCGTATGAACAAATAGGAGTTTAGGGAGAACTGCTGCTCTAATTCAATACAATGGAGGTTTACAGCAGGCAAAGATATTCGTCTAGTAAAATATTAAAATGTAGTTTAATCCGTCTTTTGTCTGCTGTATTTAAAAAAAATATTTATTTAAAAAAAAACACATTAATTTACATGATGTATCGGTCTTAAAATATATACATGAATACATACATTGATTTAATGCGTTATGGCCAATCTACAAGGGTCATAACACTCTAGAATTGATGAATATGTATTAGTATTCATATACGTCAAACAGTTTGGAATTAAAACGCCAGGAATGCTTGATACGAACACCGTACAGTACATTCAAATCGTCACGCGTGGTACTCGTAAGGTATAACCGTATCACCGCGCGTTAATTACATCAAGATGACATAACCAAGAAAACATTTGAGCAGTGAGTGAAGTTAATGTCAAAATGATAAATTATTGCCTTTGTTCTGGAAACATAATCACGCGAAAAAACATACATCAAGATCAGTTTTATTGCGGCGAAGTTACCAATGATCGTGACCTTAAACTAAATCTATTTAAAACTGCATCAGCTAAGCGTAGTGGTCAACAAGACCAGCGTCAGCAGCGAAACGCGTTTAATAGCAAGACGCGTTAATCAGAGAACTGAACCGTAACGCTTTTATTACCTCGAGCTCTGATGCGACGAAGCCAAATGACTGACGTCGTTAGTTCAAACATCAGTATATCAAAGTC